CTTAACACATCCCCCCCAAGATGTCTGAAAGGAATTCCCCAGATTCCTGCGAGAAAATGACCAACACAAAGCTTGCTGCATATGTGATCAAAGCTCAGTGCGTGTAGTGTGACCCAAAACATTGGAGTCAGTGCCCCTGGAATCAGTGTATATGTAGAGGCAGATTATATAAATTTACTCATAAATACCTAAGACAGATAAGCCATTCCTATTGGTTGAGAGCCCGTCACGTGGCCAGTCTTAAGCAGCGAATGAAGCGCTGCCATAGCCACACATCAAAGGGCAATCTTCAATTGGTTAGTGCACCAGTGACGCCACATTTGAAGAGTCCCAGATGCACGGCACAGGCACGTCGCATTCTGCGCGACATCACGCAGTACAAGGCTTACGCAAGCAAATCAGCACGCGGGAGTTTGGTTATCGGGGTTCCCACTGTCACGGATAATGCTGGGGGAAAGTTCCAGTGGAAAGTCATGAAAAGTCACGTAAAATGGGTCAGAGAAAAAAGTCTTCAAGTCAGATCATGTAAGGCTTTATTTTGATGGCCGACTTTGATCGACTTAGTGCTAATTGTTGCAGTAACTTTCCAGACCATAGCACCTTTTCCCTGTGACAATGATGTTCGATGCCATGTACATGTATATTGTCATATTTTAGCCCTGGAAAAGTCATGGACTTTTGGTTTCCAGATTTCTATTGCAACCCTGCTTATGCAAGAGGCATATACATGTCAATCACGTAACACAAGTGGCGTTTGAACAATAAGTGAAATTGTTGAACGAAATCTTTGGAAATTTAAAGTTCAGTTTATTTGTTTTAACTTTTTCACTCAAAAGGTATTTATGAATGGGAATAAATGAAAATAAATGAATGAGCCGGTGCCGCAGGGCTAATCAAGACTGGTCAATGTGTATTTATTCTCTTAGTACATGTACATAGGCCTACTTTGTTGTGCACGTGTGAACAGATTTCAAAATGGACTTAAGTAAGGAATGATTTTTTTTTAATTTCCCAGCTTTTATGTGTATTTTTTTATCTGATGTGAAATATATTATGTGCTGTATTCTATTTTTGGACGGGGGGGCGGAGCTAATAAAGCCAATTTGAGCTCCAAAAAGCAAGGCATTGTGGGTTCACGTATGTGACACTTCCATTCGATTCGACTTGCAGAAATTACGCGTGATGCGGCGGTTACTTGACTATACCTTAAACTATACGAGAAAATAAGTCCTTAGCAACTTGCCCTCTCTCTTACTGATTGACTTGTGTCGCGTGGTCACTAGCAAGGCGATCAACTCCCTGTACAGTAGGTACAAGCCTGTCGGGTTGGGGCTGGTCCATCAGGTGGCGTAGCGGACGGATGGGCGATCTGTTGACATCCAGTACTGAGTCGGGGGAGGCCAAGAGGTCGGCGTCAGTCGTTTGGCGGGGACCTGTGGCAGCGAGCAGGATCTGCCGTGCTGGAACTTCGGGCAATGCGGCCGATGTGTCGAAGTCCCTTCCTCCAGATGATAGTACTTAGCGGGGGGGGGCAGCCCGTCTGTATACATCCTCATCGGTAATGAAGTGGTGCCATGATCTAGAGGAGGCTACGAAGGCAGGTCCAGTGATGGGCGTCGATTGACCTGGCTTGGGTTGCGATCATGGGCATTGAATCCCAGGGGATGGGCGTTTATATCCCCCATTTTTTGACCAGGTGGATGGGTTATTGAATCATCCTCCCCCACTATTTTTGTGGTATAAAAAATGATCGATTATGAAGAACTTTTGTTTACTTCCTAACAACCAAAATGTATTCAGTAACTCTCAAGAAATGGGAAGGCAATCAGAAAATGCCGTAAAGATGCCGTTTGATGTAAGATTTTCCAGGAATGTAATACATATTACACATGTATACGACTGTATAATGAACATCTCCTCTTACAGTATCATAATGCATCAGCATGCCCCCCCCCCTTTCGAATTTTAAGACACCGTCTGCGCATAGCTAACTACATATTGCTGCGTACCCGCAAGTCACCTCACTGGAATTTTGGCGTCCCCAAGTTTTACTCGTTCTCGTGCAATGCCTTGCATTTCCAGCGTTGCTTATCTAGCATTAGGCATTGTGACAAAGTCTAAACGAGAAGCAGATTTTCAAGTAATTTATAAATGCTGGGGTCTGGCGCAGTCGCGAGTCTCCCTTCCCCCCTTAATGTCCCCATTGTCTTTGCGAATCCTGTGCTTAATTTGGCACGAGGCTGGGTCCTTTCGATCTGCTATAATAGTCAGTAGCCTTTGATTTTCATTGTAACTGTTGGTCACTTTTCAAAATGATCGTGGAAGCTACCGGGCAACTCGGCCTGAAAAGCAATTTTGTTATATGTTGTACTTAAAAGTTCTCCAACCTCATTTAGGATAATTGCCCCAAACCTTTCTATATGAAACGTTAATACGCATGCACAATTCATGCTTTTGACTCAACCACCTACGGGAAAAAATTTGCGTGCGGCGAACCTATTGTTGTGCAGTCAATATCGTTCTAATGGTGAGGTTCGTAGATAACCATTTGAACGTTAGCTTGAAGCTGGTGTATGCGGTCTAAACTAGCCCAGGGTGCTAGTACTTGCAGTTGTAACTTCGTAGCAGCCCGGCACCGCTGCAACCCGACCGTCTGCCAACACATATACCGGTGTCATGCATCACACTAATTCCGCTGGCCCTTGTTCTTCCCGCCTACGTTCAGTCAATGCGGTGTCTCGGTCCAGTCATTGAGCTCACCACGTTCTAAGATTACTCCCCAAACAATCAATAGTGATGCTGCTACAAGCGAAACAGTATACTTTACATGCACAAACACTGCAAAAACTCTGGTGTTAAAACACACCAAAATGTGTTGCTTTAACACCGTCGGTGTTACTTTATACACCTACACGTTTTACAATACACTGGAGGGTGTTAAAAGTAACATCGACAGTTTCAAAAGAACACCAATAATTTTAACAATGATGAAAAGTATTGGAATAGTTCTCTGATAACACCGGTTTCTTTTTGCAGTGAACCGATGCAGCACTGCACGACTCTACCCCGCTAAACGATGGTGTTAAAAACAGCAGCTTTTGGTATTACCAGATGACCACACCAAACTCTGTTATTTTAACACCGCTGGTATTACGTTATGCACCGACAAGTGTTACAGTGTCTGGAGGATGTTAAAAGTAACACCAACAGTGTTGAAATTGTTGTTGCAGTGTATCATTAACGACCGCCGGACGGTGCGTAAACGTTGACAGGTATTCTTGCGCTTTTGCCGTTATTTTTGGCGTGTGAATCGTTATGCGTCCGAAACCTATCCTTTCATGTATGTTGTCAGTTCATAGAATTCCCTGACCCCCCCTCCCCCAAAAAACCAACTTCACAAACCAATATTGTTCATGATTCCCTAACAACAGCAGTGACCAGATTTATTTGACTTAAAATCACAACTTATAACATATAACGGTTTGATTATGATTTCGAGGGTAAACGTCATAAATCTAACAGGGTCTGGTCGTGGGTAGTCGATGCTATAACTCTCCGCGGGAAGTTCACAAGTTCCCAGGGCAACGCCGCGGCTGTGAATCACGGTAGTGATTTGCCAATGTCAATTACCATTTTGTCCACGCACATCTTCTGGCATTTTCTTCCTACGCGTATTGTAATCGACCATACATTTTCTGTTATTGCTGGCAATTGGGGTTTTCTCCCGAATAGAAGTTACGAGTCCTCTTTCAGGACACTTTTTTTCCTCTGTGTATCTTTTTCATTTGGATGTTTTGTAATTGCTTCTCGCCTTTTCATAATGCAACAAGGCCTCCTTAAATAATGTGCAATCCCATTGTATTTATCTATTAAACCGCATCTAATAAACTAGGTGATAACCTATCGAGTTAAGATCCAAGTTTTTATAGTATACATGTATAATGTCAATAGAAGAAGTTACACATGTCATGTTCAGAGATGTTCAAAGTCCACCGTTTATAAGTGGTGATTGACGGGAATAATTTCACTGAATTCAGAGCTCTACTCCCTTGTCTCGAGGAAGGCCTGGGTGGCCACTCCCAGCATATTAATCGTTCCTTGCAGCAGCAGCGGCAGAGCAGAAGGGGACAAGTCAGGTTGGAGGGAGCACCCCGTCGTGTACTCGGTTTCTTCGAAGCCCTGCCCGGAGGACCCCCTTCAGCTGAGTTCGAAAATGTTCGTACATGAAGCAGTAAATGATGGGATTCACAACCATGTTACAGGCCACCAACGCGCTAAATGCTTCGTACACCGACTCGCTGACAAAAATGCCAAACGTTGCGGCGACAAACTCGAACTCGGCAGGGGTCCAGCAGATGATGAACGCACTGTCGACAAGCAGGGCGATCTTCCGCACGTTCTCCTTTGCACTGCGAAAGAAATTCTGGCGGACGTTCGCTGGATGTACTGTCTTCTTTTTCAGTGTAACTAACATTTTGGAATATGTGTAGAGCAGAATTATGGCGGGTACCAAATATTCTACTGTCAGTACCGCGATGGAGCTGACCAGCTCCAGTGTACGGTCTATTGGTACTTTCCTACAGTACCCCCGGTGCGGCTCAAACAAAAAGAGGAAGTGAGAGCCATGGGCCAAGCCGATTCCCCACGGAATCGCTCCCGTGAGCTTCACTTTCTCCGATGAAATTATTTTGCGATGTTTGAGCGGATAGCAGCTGGCCAGGAACCTGTCTAGCGAGATGATGACGAGGTTACTAGTGGACGCCACGTACATAGCCCACAACAAGACGTCTACGTACAGAAAACGACAGATTAATTCGTCGTGGAAGTTGTTTTCAGTAGACACCACGGGAATTGGGTCCTTGACAACTCTGTGAAGGAAGAAGACCACCGCCGTAATGGCGTCAATGATGGACTGGTGTAGGATGAGGCGATTTACGGTTGAGCTGAACATGCGGTGTCTGGCAAGCCTGACGATTATCACCAGGCCGTTACCGAGGAAAGCCAGGCAGGCGATGCTGGTGTTGACGGCGATCTGTAGCGGACTGCGGGGCCCCGATGCCCAAAACTCTGTTTCGTTGTCAAAGCCTCCGGTCCACTGAACCTGCTCCCAGTGACTGGTGTCGGACATGGCGAATTTCTGTGAGATCAGAAGCCGATTCTTTGCCAAACGAATGTCAATCTTTCGATCAAAGTCCTGTGGTTTCAGCTGCGAAAGGGTGGGCGATAATTTTTATAGACTGCTCAACTCGCCATGGTTATCCCAGTTTGCTGGTCTACATAAGAAGTGCGGTGGCAAAAGGTGGGTAAACGGAGGCACGTCACGGTGGCCCTGTGTGACGTCATCATGACATGCAGGTTATGGATCCCAAAAGTGTCTACAGACTTCACTCACTATATTATCAGCTTGTCTACCACGTTGGCTTATTTGCTAGAAGTGTAGATATTGGCATCGTCGAAATTCTACCCAAGGATGGGGGTGAACAGACTCCGCGCGAAAGCGCTACTGAGACTAACATCCCACCCCTGCAATCAGTGATTTATCGAAACTTTCCAGGACCGAAAAATAGAATTGTCCGAGTAGAGCAGGTGTGGATTATTATGTCTCAAGGCCCACGGCAAGCTCATTTGTGAATCTCGTGTTCTTGAGCAGACATTTTTCTTCCGCCTCCCAATTATCTGGAAAATCTGCTCTCCCAACCGAATTTACTTTCATCAGTGATGCGGGGGCTGCATGCATGCTGTTCATAATGAAATCGTCTATTGAGTTAATTAAAATCCATAACCACACTGCACTGCTCATCAAACTTTCAAAATCTTAAAACTTCCCGACGCATACAGTTTTATTTAGCCTAAAGGTGCCTAGGCTCTATAATCCTACACTTTTGTTTTACAGTTTCAAGCCGCCTCATGTAAATATCTGTATAAGGCCGAGCTGAAAGCAAGAACCTAATTAAAAACTTAACACGTGTTTCATGGTAGTCCGAACCTTACGACGTATAGCTTTCCCTGTCGCTCTTTAAATTTTCCCTGTGGTTCTGCCACCTGAAGACAAAGGTTCTGAAAGATGGATCCGAGTATTGTATCCCGCCTGGTCATCTCGATTTTAAGACAAACACATGTTCTTTTCCACGTCCAAATTCCTCACACGAGGTCGCCAAAACATCTTTTAAACCCACATTTTAAGTGAGGGCGCTCGGCTTGTTCAAGTTGTTGGTTGTCCTGAATCGTCTTTTCCTACTTGACAGTTTGCAGTGTATAGGCATTTTGCATAGTTGCCATCTTGCAGGCCAGTGTTTTTGTTCCACAGCGTATGCACAAAGGAAGATTCCCCATGGGACACTTAAGAACTGCTCTGTAAGGTGGCTGCCACGCAAAACCTCTACAAAGATACTTGACAAGATCTGAGGTGACAATTAAGTATTCCTTCCTCGTAGGCGAACTCGTTCTCCTCCGTTGAAACTAAAGCATTGTTCAAGAGGCACGATTTCTCAATGTGTATATCATAAACCAGTTCAAAAACAGACTGCACCAGCGCCTCGCTTTTAGCAGTCATTTGCGATATCAACTGCTACGCAAAATGGACCTCAGGCAATAATGGAAGTTTAACACGGGCGATTCACAATAGTGCGCCTCCAAGAGTTTGCAACACGTTGACCATTCACAATGCGCGAAATCTGTCGATCAAAATGCGTGTTTGGAAAGGGTCGACAGATTTCGCGTGTTGTGCTTGGCCAATGCGTTGCAAACTCTTCAAGGCGCACTATTGTGGATCGCCCGTATTTTTGTCCCCAAAATTGGTTGCCTCCTTTATAAAGGAAAGAGTTTTGAGATGGAGTGACGTGTACTCATGATCAACTGGGACCTAGAAAAAGAAATGTACAGGTAGTTTTTGTAGTGTGCTGATGAGATCGAGTTGGCGGGGGTTATTCCAAAAGGTAGAATCTGTGCATAAAATGACAAGGAACCTATGACGCAAGCTAATTCGCAAACCGGTGTGACTCATCGCGTGTAATAGTCCTCCATCTTAACGTTTCCCAAGATGAGTTTCAGCCCCTGGGGTGGTTTCTTCTTTTTTGCGGGTTTCTTCCTGAGAGAATCTTGTTGGACTCGCTCCAAACATCTCAGGCAATTGCATGCCAGTTTGTGGTCAGCAAAGTACGAGAAAGAGAACGCGCGCGTGGTTCGCGTGCCGAGTGCCCTGAAGTCGTCGGGCAGCCGGCGGGAGCGAGCCACGGCCAAAGCACGGACGTAGGCGTCCCGGTGCGAATCCAGGCTGGTGGACGGGTCCTTCAACTCCATGAAATTCCGTCCATTCCTGTGTCTGTTCTGTAAGGAATGATGGGGCAGCCTCCCTCGGTTCATTGCTATGTCGCTGTTGGATTCGCCCTCACCACCCCACATGTCTTGCTTCATTCTGCGACTAGTTCTACCTGACGAAGTCCTCAGACAATCCGTGCTCCCAGCCCCTCCTTGTCGGCTACTGTTACTAGACTGGCCTAGATTACCGTCGCATTCATTCGCACCACCAGATAAGAGGAAGTTCGAGTTCAACTCACGTGCCAAACTCAGGAGGTCAGAACCTTCCACAGAGCCTAAGCTAGCGGGAGATGCGGATGGAGTTTGTGGGTAGAAGGGTCGGTACAGATCTTCTGGGGAATCCGAGTACACACTCCAGTCATATGAGCTCACAGCTGCATTGCTCCGTTCCGGTTCTGGTTGACCTGGTTGCACTGAGAGATCCACTCCTAGTCCCTTGTTGGCATGGTTGTACCTTAGCAGCGGTTTCCCACTAACGGAGGTGTGACGGTGGCCCTCCAGGCCTGTCGGGGAGTTGTCCGTTTGGACAAAGTCTACTATCCCCGGAAGGCTGGGTTTAGCCAGTCTTGGTAAACGGAAGTCCACAAAGCTTCCATAATTCGATAACCTATCAGACAAGTCCAGCGATTGGAGCTCACTTGATTTTTCAGTTAGCTTCTTACCAATGACATCATTCGTTTGCTTATCGTTTCGGATCCGCTTCCGTGTCAGTATCTCTCGTGCTGCTTGACCGGGAGACCACCCGTCCACTCCATCAGGATCCTCAAACAGCCGTTTGTCTCCACCGATTTTCTTAGTGCGGAACTGATGTCGCTTTGAGAAGCTTTCCCGTTTTTCTCTGACCTCCCGCAGATGTTTCCATCCTTCCTTGGTAGACCTTAAAGACAAAACAGCCGTCGGCTTTTTTGCTTTGTCGCGCATCCAGACGCCGTCTGTTTCTTTCCCCTGTCTTTTCGGTTCGTGTTCCATATGTGGTAATGAAACAGCCGTCTGTTGAGTTCCTGTAATGCACACCTGCCTAAATCCAGCCTGAACCTGTTGGTAGTAGCTACTCTTATACAGATGTTCGAGAGGGATGCCATCTTGTCGACCCTAAGACGAGACCAAAAATTCGGAAAAAATTGTTAAAATATAATATTGTAACAATATTATAATATTAATTGTCAGATCCAAATATTATTAGTGTATCAATACGCCCCCAAACAAAAATTTCTTGTCAAAAAAGTTACATGGCGTGACGTTTTGATCCCAGCAGAATCTTTCTCAAGGACATTTTTTTGTTTCAGACTTTATTTTAAGGTCTCCTGTGTAGATAAATTGCAACAAATATCCCATACAAAATTTCAAGATAGCCACTTGAACTGACATCAAACTTTTGTTTTTCACTGATTTGAATCAGACATCCTGTGTTTGTTTCAGGAGCAGGCCTACACGTATATGATTATAAATGTCTACGTTTTGGCAACCTTTGATCTTGTTGTAGAATAATTGGTTTATGTTATTCCAACTTCATTGGTTGTAATTCACCCATGCCTCATGTTCTAAAAATTCAAATGTCGGTGTGTAATTGTGCGGTATGCATGTACATACGGGTATGACCAGCCCTAGCTGCTTGGAGGCGTCGAGCAGGGCCGCTATCCGTCTCTGCTCCCGGCGTATCGCCGTCAGGCTCAGTGACTCAGCCATATTGGTGGCTGGGACAGAATTAGGGCCCTCTCCGGGTGTTGGGAGCGGTGTCTGGTGAGAGATTTGGGAAAACGAAATGGTGTTATAGACTAATCCGATTAGACGCCATAACTGCGGTGGCACGGCACTCACACGCAAATTTTTCAGCTTGACGCGCGCGTGCATTTGGCAAATCATGACACCCTATTGGTCGAAGAGGCATGTAACGCGCGCGTAACACCTGTCCACTAGCGTTGTGCCACCGCAGTAATGGCTTCTAATTCTGCTGGTCGAATTATGCCCGATTTTTTTTCGGAAAACAACATGAAAAATCACAGTACTTCGGTTGTTGCTGACTGTCACAAACCGCAAACAATTTTCGTATTATATTGAAATATTATTGTTTCGGTTGTTCGAAGGTCTACCCGAACTCAGTGATCTGAATCTACGTTATTGTTTTTTTACACAAACAGAAAGCGGAATTGAGTAACGAAAGATGGGAATTTGCTGATTTGGGCTGATTCAGCTGCCCTGCTCGTCCGGGTTAAAGTTAACCAACCGCGGTTTTGGGCGCGTCTCGCTACGTTTACGCATAGATCATTCTAGGACATTTAAAATCGAGTTCTCAGAAGGGACCTACCGACGCAGTGTTGCTGTCTTGTTTCGCGGTGACTTGGTTTGCTCCTGTGATACAAAGTGCGAGTCCCTCTTTCATTTTCAAATGCTCTAGACTAGATCAGGAGCTTTCAACTAAAAGGGGATGGATGAGCAGAGAGTTAAAAGTTACAGTAGCATAACGAAGGTCCCGGCACTGGTAAGCGGTAGGCCTAGACTGTTTGCTGATGAAGACCTCACAAACTACACCATAGCAGAATTTTCAGTATTTCAAGCGGAAAACAACAGGTGCTCCCGGAAACAGTAAAATGTAATCAGCGGGAATTGGCTGTACAACATCTGCTCCTTGTTTGTGGAACCCGTGGTCAAACAGACGGTAGGTAGTTTTCTCATTACGGACGCATCATCTTTTGACTTGAAGATTATTTCCGTAAATAGTAAATAGTATCTGCCGATGGATGAGCAGGAAGGCCACAACGGAAGATACGATGTCGACATACGCATACGTGCACTGATCCCTATGTTATTACTAGATCTTATCAATTACATATCGACAAAGAGGCAAGAGGGCTGCAGTCCAGCGAAACAGCTATGCTTCGTGGTCATACGCCCTGAGGTTTGAAGATTAAGAAAAGAAGGACGCATACAACTGGATAAACCC